ACAACAACAACAACAACAACATTAAAAAAAAATCCAAACCAACACCTCTGACCCCCAAACCTATGTATTATATTTTCTTGTAGAAACATGTCATAATTTCTACAACCATTCCATTTTTGAGTAAGTTTTTTGTTTTTTTTTTAAGTACATGAAGCTTTTCTACTACCCTGAAAATATAATTTACACAAAACAGAACTGCAAATCAGACTCACCACCATTAAGATGACTGACTGGTTCTGACTATGTAAGATGCAGTAGAATTGCTGTATAGGATCTTGAAGGCTGTAATATTTATGGAAACATAGTCTATTTCCACACTTCAATTGATGTTTCTATGAATAATGTAATGCCACTGTGCCACCAATGTTCCATCATTATTCATCAACATTTTCCTTTTTGTTGAGTTAGAAACAGCTTATAGCTGAACCTTCATAGGTGTTCAGAGGCTGTAACTCACATGGGAGGAGATTTTTCACCTTTCTTCCTAGAAGTCACTCACTGATGGATTAAAACCAGCAGAGAACATGATCTTTGTGATACCAACACAAATTGTTAAAGACTGTGTGTGAAAGGAGTGGATGCTCCATGAGGGTCACCCAGTCAGACCTCTGCCCATTTCTTAAAGAGGAACTGCCTCCTTCCTTTATGACCATGGTTTTGTTGTGTACTATCAAGTCAGAGCTGACTCAGAGCTGACCCTCCGGTGGGTTTTCTGGGGCAATTAATCTCATAAGAGGAGACTGTCCATTCTTTTCTCCTGGAGCTTCTGGCAGAATCTAACTGCATGCCTTTGGGATTACAGCATAGCTTCTTTCCACAAGGCCACTGGCTACCTAGACAGACATGCCATCCCATATGCTCCTCGACCTATTTTTACTAATAATTAGATCCAGTGTCCATTGCAAGACTCATACACTTTACTCAAAGTTGTGGTATATTATGGAAATAGTTTGGAGAGAGTTGAAAGCAAAGAATATCTCACAATACAAGCCCAGATTTAGTCCAGCAGTTCTAAGTACATTAAGAATTTAATTCCTCATTTAATGAATGCCCAACTTCAGTTCAACAACACAAACGCAAGAAACCTCTGGTTTCCTCATTCATCCAGTAAATTTTATCTCAGAACAGTTATAAGTCATTTATCTTTTCCATCACTCAGTAAGCAAACTTTTAACTGTTGCTTTTATCTCTAGGGTTCCTCTGGCTACACTTTGCCACAGTCTTTTCGTAGCAGTGGCACAGTCCCTTAACAATATCTCTACCACTATCTCTGTCATTTTTTATAGTGTGGAAAGAGGGTTTTTAAAAAATTTTATATTGGTCCTATAGCTGTTCATAATTTGTAAAATAATATGTCTGCATTTAAAGTAATTGGAAACAATGTCCCTCAATGGGTGTGAACACAATAGCTAGAAAAGCCAGTTTGTAAGGGTTATGACACCCAACGATGCCACTAAATAATCTGTGTTCATTTAATCTCTATATTGTCCTCAGGTCCTTGGAAGTAGGAGTACATGTTTTTAATCTGTTAAATTCTATATCCTAAGAACAACAATTCATGGTATGCAAGCAAAGCTCACTAAATTTTGTTAAAAGTTGATACTGTTTTTTGGGAAGGTACAGCTTGATTCCTTAGCTGTGACTAGAAGTGATTTTTATAGAATCATCTCTGTCCCACATGTGATGTTTGCTGAGCTGGGTTATAAGTTGGTTTTATTTAAACATTGTATGTGGGTTCACATGTCACTGAAATCAGACTTCAAGAATTTTATGATAACATAAACAAACAATGAAAGAAGTGGGCACTTACCTGAACTAGGAACATAGCTATGTGGTGAAATTCTCCACGACCTCCTTGTTTAACAGGAACTGTCATAAAGAACTTGCTACCATCTCTAGAAAATACAGGCTCCTCATTCTAAAATACAGAAGAGCATAAAATAATCTCAAAATGACATCTGAAAGATGTACAGCAGCACGTAAAGAAAATGTGAACATTTATCCTGGTTTAACACATAAAACTTCTAACAAAATTCTACATTGTTTATTTAATATACTTTCTGAAATCTTTCACATAGTGGCTTTAGTTTCTGAAATACATATTTTTTCTGGTGCATACACTACACCATGAAGTCACAACTGACACAAAGGCGAACCTCCAGTGAGTTTCCAGAGGCTTGTTGAAGAGAAGACTGCTCATATTTCTTCCACTTATTAAAAATAAACAAAAAAACCCAAAACCTATAAAATTGGAGGAATAAAAACATAACACATCACAAAATTTTTAAAAAAATGTCTTAAAAAAACTCAGATATCATGAAATAAAGAAAAATAAATACCACAGCTTTGGTAGAATCAATAAAGATTTCAGAAATTTCTTTTTACTTGGATACAAAATAACCCCTCATGAAAGTCAAAAGATGGATTGCATTGGATTAATCTGTGGTTAAACATCTCTTTAAGATACTAAAAAAGCAAAGATATCACTTTATATTTGGTAATATGACCTAAGTTTTGTTATATTCAATTATTTATGTGCTTTGATGATATAGTCAATAAAGTTTTTGCACTGACGGCATTTAGGGCTCTTGTTCATTGGGTCGCTATGAGTTGCAAGCTACCCAACAGCACATAACTACAACAACAAGCAACCAAAGGTCACACGTCTCCACCAGCTACTTTAAGTAAAAAAAGATAGACAGTGTCCTCCAGTTACTATTTATAGCCTTGAGAACCAATGGTAGGTCCCTATAAGTCAGAAATGATTCAATGGGAACAAGCTTGATTTTATTTTAAGTTTTATGTGCATCTGAAAGTTGGGCAACAAATAAAAACAACCGAAGAACTACTGATGTCTTTGAACTGTGGTATTGGCTGGAGAACAATATATAATATTGCATGAACTTTTAAAAGAACAAACCAATCTCTCTTGGAAGAAATTAAGTCAAAGCACACTTCAAGACAAGAATGGGCATTGTATTAGAAGGGACTGGTCCATGAAAGGGCACATCAAACTTGGAAAGACAAAATGTCAGTGAGAGACAGGAAGACCCTCAATAAGACACAGTCAGTATGACAATGAATTGGGTGTATGGCACAGGATAAGGCAACAATAGCATGGAGCTCAGTTGAGTCCAATTCCCCATTCTCACTCACAGTTCATCTCATACATCAGACAAAAATAACCACCATAACTGGAAATCCAAAGTCAAAGCTTTTTAATTACATTCTAGTGGCATATGATATCAATAAAGTTATTTTAAAAAATTAATTTATGGAAACAGTGCATGTTAATTACTTTCATTTGCCTTAAGAATGACACCAAGAAAGTGAATTTTTCTGACAAAACATTAAATTCTTTCTAGCTCAATTAATAATAATGGTAATGTAGACTTTTATATGATTTCTTGATGGATCACTAAATTGCACACAAGGCCTATTTATATTCACGGAACCTTCTGTAGCTCTGTGATACCTTTAGCTTCCATTGTCATATTTTGTCATTGTACTTGCAACTGCAATAGGATTTTTTTCATTGCCTGGCTCTTTCTCTTCTCTCTTTCATTTATCTAATCCAATGTCAGAGCTGATGCCTCAAAGAAACCAGATGTTCCAACACTACGAGTATTCCTTACTACATTTTGCTCCTCCCCCCACCCCACTGATGTTGAATAGTTTCTGACTAAGAGAGTGACTCTACAGAACAAGCATAAATCTGTGTAGTTATGATGGTGAGTATGAAAATCCCAAAGACAGGAAAAAAACAACCAAAAAACCAAAACAAAAATTAAAAAAAACCCCAACAAACAAAACAATCTTGTTATACCTAGATATAGTAGATCAATTTAGTAGAGCAACAGGAAAAAGATCAATAACAAAATCAGTGGTATTTCTCTATAGCAACAAAGAAAGCACATAAAAGAAAGTAATAGCAATACTATTTAAAATCATCAACTACAAGATGGAATTCCTGCGGATAAATCTAACTAAAGTCACACAGACCTTTATAAGAAAAACTACAAAACACTACTACAAGAAACACTAAAAGATTTAAGTGGAAAAATAGTCCCTGATCATGGACAGGAAGACACAACATTGTAAAGATGATAATCCTCCACAAGGAATCTACATGTTCAAAGCAATCCCAATACAAATACAAAACTCAGTCTTCAAAAGGATGGAAAATTCAATTGGCATGTTTATGTGGAAAATAAAAAGACTCTGAATAAGCAAGCACTTCTGAAAAATAAAAATGAACTCAAAATCTACTATACAGCCTTAGTAGTCAAAACAGCTGGTTTTGGTACAATGGCAGATACATAAACCAGTGCAAGAGAATGGAGAACTCAGAAATCCACCTATCTCCCTATAGTAATTTGGTATTAAACAAAGAAATAAACTCTATCAAATGGGGAAGTGACAACCTCTTCAACACACGGTGCTGGCAAAACTGGAGATCTAATTGCAGAATTGAAATATAATCTAATTCTCACACTACATAAGAAATAATCTCAAGATGAATCAGAGGCCTAAACTATAAGGATCATAAGAAAAAAGGTGACCAAAAGTAGAATTCCTAGTCCATGGCATAAATAAAGCTTGCAAAATATAGCCCAGAAATGCACAATCAGTAGATGAGCTTGACAAATGGGACCTTCTAAAAATCATATCCCTGTATGCATCAAATACTTTATCTGATAGGGTAACGAGAAAGACTACAGACTGGGAAAATCATTTGACAATGACATTTCAGGGAAATGTCTCATAACCAAAGTTTACAGAATATAAGGCCTCCCTAAGAAAATACTGGTAACTCAATAACAAAATAGGTAAAATACATTAAAAGACTCTTCACAAAGGAAGACATTCAGATATCCAACAGACATGGAAACATATTCACTGTTGGTGGGAGTTTAAAATGGTGCAAATACTATGGAAGGCAGTGTGATGCTTTCTCAAAAAGTTGCAAATAGAAATAACATTTGACTCAGCAATTTCACTACCGGAAGAAACCGTAACTGCTACCTAAGCAGATATATGCACACCCATGTTTATTGCTGCTTTATTCACTATAGCAAATAGTTGGAAACAACCCAGGTGCCCATCAACAAACAAATAGCTAGAGAAGCTGTGGTATAGTCACACAATGGACTATTACTATGCTGCACTGAAAAGCAAGTAACTCATGAAATATGATACAAAATGGG